CATAAGAGTGTGTCCTGCATTTTCTAAGGTTCTTATGGTTTGAGGTTTTACATTTAGGTCTCTGATCCATTTAAAGGTACTTTTTGTGTATGGGGATAGGTAGGGGTCTTGTTTGAGACTTCTGCATGTGACCAGCCAGTTTTCCCAGCACCATTTAATGAACAGGTTCTCCTCTCCCCAGTGGTAGGTGGTAGAGCCTTCGTCAAAGATGAATTCATTGAGAAAATGAGGTTTTGCTTCTGGAATCTCAATTCTATTCCATTGGTCTTTATGCCTGTCCCTGTACCAATACCAAGCTGTTTTGATTATTGTAGCTTTATAGTAAAGTTTGAAGTCTGGTAATGTGATACTTCCTGCTTTTTTTTTTTTTTTTTTCTGAGGATTTTTCTGGCTATTCTTGGTCATTTGTGCTTCCATATGAATTCCTGTATTGTTTTTTTGAGGTCTGAGAAGAATGTTGCTGGCAATTTGATGGGTATTGCATTAAATCTGTAGATTGCCTTAGGTAGGATGGACATCTTCACAATGTTGATTTTTCCAATCCATGAGCATGGCATATTTTTCCACTTGTTTGTGTCATATTTGATTTCTTTGAGCAGTGTTTTGTAGTTTTCATTGTAAAGATCTTTCATGTTTCTGGTTAGGAAGATGCCAAAGTATTTCACTTTTTTGTGGCTATTGTGAATGGAATTGTGCTTTTTATTTGGGTTTCTGTTTACTATTGGTGTAAAGAAATGCAATTGTCTTTTGCACATTTATTTTATATTCTGCGACTTTGCCAAAGTCCTTTATCAGTGTAAGGAGGTTTTTCACAGTTTCTCTTGGGTTTTCAAGGTACACAATCATGTCATCTGCAAAGAGAGAGAAGTTGACTTCCTCTTTTCCTATTTGGATACCCCTGACTGCCTTCTTTTCTCGGATTGCTCTAGCCAGGACTTCCAATACTATATTGAACAGGAGGGTTGAGAGTGGGCAACCTTGTCTTGTTCAAGTTTTCAGGGGAAATGGTTCCAATTTTTGTCCATTTAGGAGTATGCTGGCTGTGGTTTTCTCGTAGATGGCTTTTACTATTTTGAGGTATGTTCCCCATATGCCTAGATGTTCGAGGGTTTTTATCAAGAAGGGGAGGTGGATGTTATCCAAAGCTTTTTCTGCATGTATTGATATAATCGTGTGGTTTTTGTCTTGACATCTGTTGATGTATTTACATTTATGGTTTTATGAATGTTGAACCAGCCTTGCATCCCAGGGATGAGGCCTACTTGGTAATGACGGATGATTTTTGAGATGTATTGTTGAATTCGGTTTGCTAGGATCTTGTTGAGAATTTTGGCATCTATGTTCATCAAAGATATTGGCCTGTAGTTCTCTTTGTTTGTTGGGTCTTTCCCTGGCTTGGGTATCAATGTGATGTTAGCTTCATAAAATGATTTGGGGAGAGTTCTATCTTTTTCAATTGCCAGGAATACCTTCAGTAGGATTGGTATCAGCTCCTCCTTAAATGTCTTGTAGAATTCTGCTGGAAAGTCATCTGGACCAGTGCTTTTTTTTGTAGGTAGTTTTCTTATTACGTAGTCAACTTCCTTGATTGTTTTTGATCTATTTAGGGTCTCAATTTCTTCTTGTTTCAACCTAGGTGGGTTGTGTGATGTCAGAAAGTCCTCCATTTCCTTAAGGTTTTCAAGATTGTTTCCATACAAGTGTACGTAATAGTCTCTAATAATCTTTTGTATTTCTTCAGGGTCACATGTGATTTCATCTTTTGTGTTTCTGATTGTGTTTTTTTGGGTTTTTTCTCTCTTTTTCTTGTTCAGTCCAGCTAGGGGACCATCGATCTTGTTTATCCTTTCGAAGAACCAGCTTTTCGTTTCATTGGTTTTTTGTATTATCTTTTTGTCTTCTATGTCCTGGATTTGGGCTTTTATTTTGGTGATCTGG